AAGTCCACTTATGAGAAGGAACTCTATGCGGTGTACAAGGCTCTCACCCATTGGAGACACTACCTCCTTGGGCGGTTCTTCATCCTCCGGACTGAACATCAGACCCTGAGATGGATGAGAACACAGTCGGTACTCTCTGACGCTCTCAAGCGTTGGATCGAAGTCATTGAGCAATATGACTTTGACCCTCAGTATCTCAAAGGGGAGTACAACAAGGTTGCTGATGCCTTGTCGCGTAGACCGGACTTCTCAGGTGCGCTGATTACTGAGTTCGATCTGACGAACAATGTTACTCAGTCTTTGGTGGAAGCCTATCGTCAGGACCAGTTTATGTCTGAGATCCTACGCAGACTTGAGGCGAAGGATAAGAAGACCTCCGCCGAGTTTGAGTTGGTCAATGGATTGCTGTTCCTAAAGAAGGCAGGGAATAAACGCTTGTGCGTTCCAAATAGCGAGTCTTTGCGTAGTTTGTTTTTAGGCGAGTGTCATGATGCCACCGACCATTTTGGGTACAAGAAGACCGCAGCCAACTTGCTGCAGCGGTTCTGGTGGCCCACGATGATGAAAGATGCACAGCTGTACGTGGAAACTTGTCAAGTATGCCAGAGAGACGAGCCCCGTACTCAAGCTCCTCTTGGGCTGCTCAAGCCCCTTCCGATTCCCGAAAGGCCGGGTGAAAGTTTATCCATGGACTTCATGGATACGCTGGTCACCAGCAAGAGTGGGATGAGACAGATCTTTGTCATCGAGGATAGGTTTAGTAAGTTTGCTAGATTAATAGCTATGCCAGAAACAACAAAGACCGAATACATGATCAGGCTATTTAAAGAAAACCGGGTTAGAGACTTTGGACTGCCGAAGTCTATAGTCAGTGACAGGGACGTCAGGTTCACGAGTGAATTATGGAAGGCCGCTGCAGCTGAACAAGGAACTCAACTGCAGATGACTTCTGGAAATCATCCAGAAGCTAATGGCCAGGCTGAACAAATGAACCGCGCTGTGCAACACCTGTTGAGGCATTACATCAAGCCCCATCAGGTAGACTGGGACGAAAAACTTGCTCTAGTCGCTAGTCTATATAACAACGCTGTGCACAGTGCTACCGGGACGAGTCCTAACAGTCTACAGCTGACATTCAAGCCTAGACTGCCCTTAGATTTCCTATTTCCAGACAACCAGCCAACTGCTACACCGGGCACTCTGGAGTTCGCCTATAGATATGAACAGAAGATGCAGGAGGCTGTAGAACACATGCAGAAGGCACA